ATCTGGCCAGTCCTGAAATATAAAAGTCTTCTAGACTGCTCTCTCCCTCATAACCTCAATCAATGTATTCGCCAAATAGCTATTTAATTCCCTTTTGAATTTGCTGACACAATCTGCCTCTAGCACCTCCCTGGGAAGTCTATTCCACATATTTATCACTCTCTGTGTAAAGTAATTAAATCGAAACTGTCTGTTCACCTTCTCGCTTCTGACTTGAGGTCATGACTAACCTGACTAAGTTGTGAGGGGTGAAGTTTATTTATGGGAAAGTGAGCAGTAGAGGCAGAGGCCAATTTTCTTTATCTATTAGCTCAAGAAACATCGCTCAGCCTTAGCCAGTGTTTTCACACACAGACTGAAACATGCATGTTTTGTTTAATCTGACATTCAGTTCAGTATTAAATGATGTCAAGAACACATGCATGGTAGATTGAAATCTACCGTGATCGAAAAGAGAAGGAAGTTTCCTCCTGGTGTCCTGGCCAACAAATTCCCCAAATAAAATTAGTCACTCACTCTATAGTTGTTTGGGGACAGTGCTGTGTGCAAACTAGTTACCATGTTTTGCCCACAAAGTACACACTTTACATTATATCATAGTAAAGCACTTTGAGACATCTCAATAATCTAATAAGGCACTACATCAACTACAAGTATTATTACTATAGATTGGTTTACTTCATGTCGATTGACTCATAATCATTCGCTATTTAAATATTATCAAAATAGGACTGTAATCACCAGCATCATTTGTTTGTGGTCCATTCAGGTATGAATCCTTGCTTTTCACCTCTGCACATTGCAAGCAATATCCCATATAATTACAGAAGTTTTGTTTTTTTTAATCCGTTTTACATTTTCAACCCGTTAGAGATAAAATTCTCTTTGGGACAAGATGAGTTGATTTCTCCCTGGGCTTTATTTATAAAGATTGCTACCCAGTGTCAATTCATGTACCAGAAGGCTTTAAATGACCTGACTGGCATATGCACTGACAGCTGAAATTCACAGGAGGATCCCCATTGGCAATCATATCAGTCTGATGTGAATCTCCCACCTTGCAATCACAGGCGTATCAGAGATATAAAAGGCGGGAACTTTGACTGATATCTGATCAGAGCAAATAGTTCCCAACCACATGTGTTTTCTGCCCCATCCCGCCCCCAATCACACACAAAAATTTTTAATTCCATTTAAATGAAAAATAGCTGCAGAAGATCTATAAACAAGATACATCATGAGGATTTTGTGTGTTACAGCTGGAAGAGTAATATTGAGCATATTCAGAGTATGGGGACTTGAGCTGCAGCTCTGAGGTTTCAGTGTAAACGATACCTTTTCAGCAGAATTTATTAGGGCGAGGTCGGTAATGTGAGATGAGATAAATTTGTTTGCTGTCCTTGGGATTTTCTTTAGGCACGATCCTGTTGACATTTTCAAAGTGTTGAGAAACTAACCCATTGAGCAAGTATGAAGAGATTACCTTGTACAGTTGAGGGAAAGGAAATAAATAGCTGGGAGTGTGAAGAACAAGCTAGTTATACAGATTAACACACTCAAAAAATGACAAATTGCAGTAGTCTCATTGTCTTTCAGAACAACCCCCGCAGGCTTTTATCATGAAACAAGTTGAACACTTTGTCATGTTATTAACACTGTAATAAGGCTGCCTGGCTTTTATCAAGTGCTTTGCTCGATGACTCTGAGCTATGTGATGATTTTAAAGCTATGCCTATTTGACATTGCGAATGGAATTAATGCCATCACATCGCTGCCTGGCCTACCCCAAAATACTCTGACCTAGCATGAAATGAGAAGATGTCTGGTCTTGAAGATTAAGTGTATGTTGCAGCCAAAGCCTGCCACAGCTGCATGATTTTGATAGACTGCAGGGAATTTTATAAGCTAGGCTCTAAATCTTGTTAATCCTAAGGTCAAAGTTGTTACATTAACAAAATAGGCCTAAAGCAGCCTTCATAAAGTACTAAAGGAACTAAGCTGTAATGTGCCATAAAACACCAGAGTACTTAATAAAGTTTTTATAACCAAAAATGGTTCAAAGGTGAATTTGTGAAGTGCATCAAAAGCACGCTATCATTTTTTTTGCTGCTGGAATAACTGTTTTGGCACCATTTGAGGTTAAAAACTAATGCCTTGTGAATTATACAGCCTCCAGGATTATATAGTTGGCAATCTGAAAACCCTTAGGATTTGCCTTGGAAAAAAAATGTTTGGTGGGGTAAAGATAATTGTAATGTATATTTAGCCCCGAGTGCTTTCTCCTGTGCTGCCCTTGAGATAGTCTATTGGATTTCTGTCATTGAAAACTGGCTTGTCATCAAAGGGGTGTTTCTGCTCCAATTGGTATATTATATATACTGACCGTGGAGTTTCCTGGTAATCCACTGCAAATTATTTCCCGATATACTTGCACTAATGTCAGAACCATTAATCTTTAAGTGCGAATGTCATCACATATCAGTGATGGTGAATGTGCTGGCAGCCAGAATCTGCAGTGAGAGATGCTGTCAACACAAAAAAAAATCCGAAATTCAGCAAATCCATCCTGTGTAATTAATGCGAGGTTTCTTTTAAATAAATAACTCTGGAATAATTTCAAGGCAGAAATCTAATTGCAGGATTCTGATGCCAATTATATAAACTACTGAAAAAGCTTTGCTCTTGCAGATCCTAACATTGTCTGAACCTCTCGATTAGATTAATACTTTGTAATTGCTCCCAGGCATCCTTTATTCTCGGTGTATTCTGTGAAATGTACAACTTTGAATGAACTGCATTTTGTTTGGGGGCTCAAGTTCATAAACAATGTCGTACCAGTTCCAGAGCTAGGTTTTAAATGTACAATAAGGAAGACAGCCACCGAAATAAAATGAAAAGTGTTGTCAGTATTCCAGAAGGCTGTGCCTTTGGCAGCAAACCAGTAGTAAAGGTTACACGGGAGGTTACATTGGATTAAATTTCATTGGAGTCTTGTGCAATTTATGTGAGACCCCTGGCTGTTCTTCAGCTTGACTGACCGTGAATAAAAGACAGCTTAGCATTAGCCTTGGAGGAGCATTCGCTGAAGTAGGCAGAAGGTTTCAGAAGTTGACAGAATGGGACTTGAAGTGTTCTATGCACTCTTGTTTCTTCTGCCTGTAACTCAATACCATCTTTAGCTGCACTGGAAAACTGCCTCAATAGTTTTGTTTTTTAAGGAAAGCTTTTATTTCCTTTCACCAAATGAGTCCTTGTACTCGCGAGTAGCTTTATTGCACATGTGGATGAAAACCCTGCCCTTCGAGCTAAACGGTGCAATATTTCTATTATGTATGCTGCTGCCCTAGTATAATGGTGGAAGGAAAGGGGAAGCAAGTGCTAAATGCTGTAAAAATAGCGTGTGAATGTCTTCTGGCACTACATTATCCTCCCTTTGTTTTAACTTCTCAAAACACGAGTTATCTAAGCCATTAGAATGTTTTTTTCGCACAACTTATTCTGCATTGTTCACAGCATTTAACACATCAGTGAACAAATTGCTCCCTTGGATATGCTAATCCTGTTCTTTTAAAGGGCTCATTGTTGCATGTTTTAGAGCTTAACTGGAGGGTAGATGAGAATCGAGGGTGTGTTAAATTGTCATGTGACCCCAAAACCTCTGAAATTGCTTGCTACATGGGTCAACAATTTAGGCATAGGGCATTTTTGGATGTGTCTTTCTATTTTCAGATGCTTAATTTTTTAACAGACAGATTAACACACATACTCAGATTCTCTCTCACACTAACACACATGCATATGCTTTTTCATCCCTTTTAATCAGTCACTTCCATCTGCTATTTTTTTGACAGAATCCAAATGCATCTTAATTACTAGATTACTCGCCGAGGGTGGGGGGATAGTCAGCCTAGGGTCAGTAACATGTGGAAATGCATCATGATGCTTGAGAGTATCTGACCAGACTGAGAGTTCCCCTCGTGTATACCACCTGCCCAGAAGTATTGCAAACCCACCTGGCTCAGGAACCGCAGTACCAAGACTGCCTCAGAGCGGTGAGTCAATTCCAACATTCCATTGCCAAGCATGCCAATTGAAGCCAGCTGAGCTCCAAGGAGACCTCCCCAGTTACCTCTGCCACCACCCCCGTGGAGGATAATATAAGGCAAGTTGTCTGATAATAGCATATTGGAATTGAGTCGATCCTCTGTGTTGGTCTCAGTAGTTCCTGAGCCAGGTGGGTCTGCAATACTCCAAGGCACTACTGACCCTACAAGCCAAAGTCCTAGGTGGGCAAATCGTAGGGAGCTTCCAAATAGTGTGAGCAATGGCAAGCTGGTTAAATTCCAACAATACCCTAGTACAAACTTTGGGTTCCCATAGAGTTGGCTCCTTTTTGGAATTGGGTGCATATTCTATTCCAGACAAAGTGAAATTTCCATGTGTAAGTAGCATACATATATGGAAATCTCATTCTGGTTTGGGTACGCTTAGGCATAGTGATAGTTTCTCTTTGCGTCAGAATCCCAGGACAAAAAAAAAATTCTTTGCCGGTGCAGTTATAGACTTGGTTTTAATACTATAGACGATAAACTAAATGAAAAATGTTAGCTCACCTCCTAAAGAGTTGCTGTTTGGCAAGAAGGTACTGTAACCAAGCCATTAAACTTTATAGCCTAGGTAATACATTTATTTTAATTAATGAATAATGTAAAATATCAGTTGTCCACAACTCTGTGACTGTACAAATATACTTCACACACTACATTTATTTCAGAATATGCAAATGCAGAGGTTGCTCAGTTGGGGTAGAGGAGTCTTGGGGCTTATCTATATAATTTTTTTTTAAAAATCCTTTTTAAAGACTTTTTAAACAGATGGTTGAGTTGCTAAGGCCAGAAAGTTTCTGTAAATACCTGTATTAAATATCGTAAGCTTTCACATGGCGACACAGGGAAAATGAGAGGAATTTTCTTTTGAAAGCAGCTTTTGTGTCTTCACAGAGCAATTCCCTATTGGTATCTGACAGCCTGCGAGGCACAGATAAACGCAGGAATGGGCCTGATTATTCTAATGATGTGAAGAAGAGGAAGGTTGATGATAAGGACTCTATGAGCCACTATGTAAGTACATTTAGTGTAGGTGGCAGAAACAGCCAAGTTTGCCTCCTTAAATACTATCTTTCACAAAAATGTACTTTTCCTGCATTGTTTGTAATGTCCTTTTCCTGTAAGAGGTGACACAAGAATATACATTGTGAACTTAACTTTTTTTAATGAAATATGAATCATGATCTATGCAAAATTGTGGTGCATCATTTGTCCATTCTGAGGCTTCTGGGCATGTGTTTGGGTTAACGTGAGGGTACGGTGCACATCAGGGCACCATCCAAAAGCAGCTTGTGCACCTTATCAGGGCGTGCGCAGGCACGCACACGGATGTAGTGCGCACAGGGGTGATTCCCAACTGTCTTAAAGGGAGCGTCCCAAAAAAATACCTGTCCACACTCCCCGCTAAGAGGGGAGGGATAGGGAGAGGATTACAAGACCCCATTTGTAACTGCGTTCTGCAAAGGGTGGCAAAACCCCAAAAGCCTTGGTCCCTTCACCAACTTGAAGTGCGCAGAAACGACCCCCCCGACCACCCCGCCACAAGGGGCTGGGTCTGTTGCGTCTTATAATGGGATAATAACATGTTGCGTCTTTTTTTGTAATGGGTTTGATACTGTCTGAGACCAGCGTAAATATATATCTCCAAATAATAGATATATTGTTTATTTTTTTGCCCATTTTGTCTAATTTTCACCTAATCCATTAATTTGCACTGCTATGTACAACAACAACAACAAGATTACATTTGTATACGCCTTTCACCTCGGGAGGACGTCCCAAGACAACATAGACTACAGCACACGGTGTATGAGGATAGAGTACATTAAAGTCAATGTGAATATAACCTGTCCCGTACACTGGGGTGCAGAGCCACTTGGCTGCCTACATTTTGCATAGATGTGAGCAATGCGATGTGATTATGTTCTTGGGTTTCCTGACGTCTATTATTAATGAAGAAAATATTAATTATTACACAGGGTCCAGTCTAGTCGCTGGTTCGATCATCTCATCATTCACAAACCTTTGATTTTAATTGACTGCCTATGATTGAAGTTTATTTCAAAATCTTTATTTTGTTTTATAGGACAGTGATGGGGATAAAAGTGATGACAACTTGGTGGTAGATGTTTCGAATGAGGTTTGTACTTGTTCCTCTTCTCCCCCCACCCTCTCCTCGCCCCATCACCTCCCTTCCCCAGTCCCGGCCCATTTTAGTTTTGGAACTTGACTAATCTTTAACAGTTATTGTGTGTTTAAAGGCCATATGAGTATTTGAAAGGAGTAGAAGTTGCTTTAGAGTGGGTTGTGAAGTCCTGTAGCTCAGTGGTTAGAGCACTCGCTTTGCAAGTGAGAGATCTGAGTTCAATTCCAGGCAGGGCGAAACCTTGGGCAAGTTTCCTTGCTCCACACGCCTAATAATAATCCCTCCAAAAACAATAATAAATTGGTCATTTTCAATCTACGACTGTTTGTGGGACATTGCTGTGCGCAATTGGCTGCCGCGTTCACCCACAAATATACAGTCAAGTCACCATACAGTGTGTTCTGTGAAGCGCTTTGGGACGTCCTCCCGATGTGAAAAGCGCTATATCAAATGGAAGGATTATTATTATTATTATTGAACAGCAGGTTGATTGGAAGTTATACATTGTGGGTTGTCAATGCTAGTAAATGTTTGGTTCAGTAATATGTTAGATCGCAATCCATTCTATTTAGCCTGCATGTGAAAATCTGATTTATGCATTTGGATGAAGTCTCTCGATAGCTCTTGTGGGTTATTTGATGGCGGAACATATGTTTCCATGCTGGTATAATGGTAGTTTTTCTTGTGCCATTCATTGCTGGCAGTTGGGTTTAAGCTCTAGTGCCAGTCATTACTGCCAGTTAGTTCAGTCACCAGTGCCAGTCATTGCTGGCACATAGATTTAAGCACCAATCCCATTCACTGCTAGTACTTGGGGTTTGAGCACCAGTGGCATGCAATGCTACCAGTTAGGTTTGGGCAACTGGTGATAGTAATTTCTGGCATTTAGGGTACAAAATGCCACTTTGAGGTGCTTCCTCTATGTAGAATATTATGCCTACCTCCCCTGCACCCAACTTCATCAATGTGATTTTTTTTCTTCCACTGTCTGCTATCTTCACAGCTATTGAATAACACTGCAAGTTTATGACACATTTTATGCCGTGGGCCAGTGTCCATTTAAGAACTGGGCTCTATCGTGGTCAATCTTTTTTTCACTTGGATAATGGCATCCTTTAGAGACTGGATACATTAGTTTTGAACCCGCCTCTCAGAAGTTAAAGTACCGTACACTAGCTCAAAACATTACTCGACTGGTCTCTTTCACAGTTATTTATTGATAGACATAATTGTGTAAAATGGGTGCTAGACTAAATGCAAGAATTATATTATTGTTTTATTTATTATAATAACTCACATCTGTAAGGTGACGTGTAACCATTGGTGTTTCTTTCTAGGACCCATCCTCTCCACGGGGGAGCCCTGCCCACTCACCCCGTGAGAATGGCCTGGACAAATCACGACTATTGAAGAAGGACGCTTCCAGTAGTCCGGCTTCAACTGCATCGTCTGGCAGCTCATCTTCTCTCAAATCCAAAGAGCTGAGCCATGTAAGTTGTGTGAAATAACATAGACTCTACAGCACAGAAACAGCCATACGGTCCAATCAATCCGTGCCACTGTTTACACTCCACACAAGCTTCCATCCCTCCTCATCCCCTCTCTCATACCTTCTGTTCCCTTCTCCCTCAAACACATATTGAATTTTCTCTTATGTACATTGATGATATTTGCTTCAACCACAGCCATGTTTTAAACTATCTTTGAAAATACTTATGAACAAAGGAAAAGTTCAGATTCATGTTATTTTGCTGCATGAATAGTTTTGATACTTTACCTGACCAAGCTTCCTGTTTGTAATTGTGGCTTTTTGGGTTAGTGTGAAGTGTGTGGAAAGTGGTGTTTTTAAGAGTGCTCTTGTGAGGTAACACTTGTGTTGGTTATCAGCAAAATGTGCTGTAACATAAATTTTCCTGGTACATCTACACATTTGCACATTTGATTGCAGTGGGGCTCCCAGGTCTGAGCTGAGGTACAGTGAGTTTGCATGATGTGCAGGGGATTTCCTAGAGAACATGTTTATGTCCCAAGGCACTTTAATCAGCTAAAACCACGTAGCATGTCATTGATTGGCAAGCTTCCAGCTACTTGACCAGCGAGGGCCACCCTACCCATTAGGGTTTGACTTTGGTGGGGTAACAGAAACTGAGTGTTCCCAGTTACTGGTCAGGCCCTTCAGGTTTTGTTGGGCTGAGTGGTCTGAAGTTAGCAGTGCCCTGGAGAACTGCGGATCTGCCTGGCTCAAGAACCAGATTACCGAGACCGCCACAGAGGATTAACTTGATTCCAACATTCTGTTGCCAAGCATGTCATTTTAGAGCGAGTTCAGCTCCAGGTAAACCCCACTTACCCCACTTCATGGAGGAGCCAATGATTGAATTCATTCTGAATTTTGAACTGTTTTTCTTTAGTTCTTACAAGAACTTACAGAATGCTAGCATCAGAACTGAGGCTGTATTTAAGAATTTACCAAATTTACTATGCTCTGAAATACTACATAAACAGAATTAATCTAGTCCTAGATAAAAAAAATGTGTGCCTTCTTCTCAAATCCTGGCAAAATTGAAGTCTGTATTAAACTTAAAAATTTATGCTGGTTGTCTAAGAAAGTGGATCTGCTCAGCTGCGTGCATGTAATGCCAGTTTTAGCTTTTAGTCAACACACTAATGTTATTCAGCATTTCAAGTAGTTAGCCTTGTTTTTGAAATAGGTCTCTGGAATCTGTTTATATTATTATCTGAGCGTGTACAAAGTGCCATGTCCAGAGTGGCATGTACAGTCAAATGCACTCTGCAAATTTTACTTAAAGGCAGGTTTATGGGGCCTGTGAACCTAATGCAGAGAGCATTTATGAACTGATATGTTCCCTGTTCTTGTCAGCTGGCTGAGCTGGTAACAAAACATGGTTGCTTTACACTCTGTTGTGGGTGGGACAGTCATAATTCTGTAGATCAACGTTTTTAACATGCTCTTTTTTAAAAAAAAAGTTAACCCATCAGGGTCGTTTTTTTTAACATTGGAGCTATAGAACTGCAGTGCTACAGAAATGCTAAATGCACTGCATTTCAGTTGCTGTTGTGATGAATATATTGATGTCTGATGCCTGAATTAATGATAACCATTTAATAACCGTGCAGCATGAAAAGGCCAGCACTCCTGTGATGAAATCAAGTACCCCAACACCAACTCCAGGCACGAGCACTACGTCAGCACTGCGCGCAGGTCTTGGCAAACCCCCAATGATGGATCCGTTAGGTAACCAATCCAGTAATCTTGTTATTGTTGTTATTTATACTTATATAGCAGTTATATATATATATAATGTATATAAACAATGATTATTGTTGCCTAGTTATACATGTGTGCATGCATTGTAGTTTTCCTACTTTTTATTATTTTTGTTTTTAAGATACTAAAAGTTTGACACAGAAAATAATTGCAAACTGTATTATAATTTGTTTAAGCTTTTGGTGAATTTCTGGCTCATCTAGGTGCATTTGGTTCATGGATAATCTTCAAGGGAGCTTCAATGGAAGCAAAATAGTATTACAAAATTAAACAAAAAAAATTTAATAGCTGTATACTTTATGTAGATTCATCAGTAAAAATGTAAACCTTACATTTAAATGTGCAGGTGAGTCCATTTTGGGACATTTGAGACAGTGCCTTGGGACATCCGCCCGATGTAAAAGGTGCTATATAAATGCAATTTGCCATTGTTATTAAGTACTGTGATTCTTTTTCTTTTGCGTTGCAGCCGCTGGACTGAGGACACCTTTGGCAGTGCCAGGCCCTTACTCTTCCCCTTTTGGGATTGTGCCTCACTCTGGTATCAATGGTGACCTAAGCAGCCCGGGAGGTTATCCAGGATTGCATAATATCTCACCCCAGATGAGTGCTGCCGCAGCAGCTGCTGTAGTCGCCTATGCGCGACCGCCCATGGTAATCCACACTCTGTATACATTCATAATGATCTGTTCATTCAGATATACTGTGGGCTCTGCATTTAATCTTGCAAAGTAGATTTGAAGTGATAGTCATGTTAGCAGATTTCACTGTGTTTTGTTTTGGTGGGGGGTGGGGGTGAGTGAATGTATGAAATCGAATCATGTGAAACTGGACACTTTTGATCTTCTATTTGCCATAATTTTCCCTCCTCAGTTTTTCCGAAGATTCTGACTCAGGCTGAGTTCAACAGGAATCAACGGTACTGCATCCAAATGGCTATTTATCATCCGTAAACGTGGGCTAGCTATTCCCACCAAGTTCATTCCTGTCCTCAACATCCACAAGTGTAACCATTTCAGAAAGGGCCACTGGATAGCAATCTGACGCCTTAATTTCTTTGTGAAAGCCTTTCGATAACAACCATGGGGAAACGCTTCTCCCAACTAAAACTGATTTTAAGCCTTTTCCAAAATTCTGCACAATCTTAAATGTTAAGGCAATTGCCTTAAGGCTAAGACCATGAAAAATGTCAATCCCCTTGAGTGCAAGTTCTAACTGATATCTTTTTAACTCCTCTCTCCCTAGCCCAGGGGCATTAAAGGTCAATTGTAGCATCTCAACTGCTCTTCTGGTGAACCTCCTCAGCTAACTCAGCATGGAATGGGAATTAAACCTGAGATGTCTGGGTGTGTTTGACTCAGTTGCTCAGAGCTCTTCAGTCATTGGGGAGTTCATTTTTCCAAGCTATTTCATATTTATTTCGCACAGAGCTCCTCTTAAATAAAGTCGGGCAAATTATTTCTCTTTTTGTATGACAGTTATAATTAGGAGCTGAAAGCTGCCTGTTCCAAGTTCAGATTAGCTGCTACCCTTGAAGCTGTCTTTTACACTAGCACAATTGTGGCTGTCTTTTACACTTGCCCTCTGAGAATGTGTGCTGTGGAAGTGTTGGACTGTCACTTCAGTATTCTCTGTAGAAATCAGCGGGTGCTCAGTCTTAGACCAGATGTATCCATAATCCTGCCAAGTCTCTGTGCATTTCCAGGATATTCTTAAAGAAAACCTGTTTTGTTTCTTCGTCTTATGAGAACCCTCAACCGTTGTTTTTTTTTAACCTGTGCTTGATTATTACCTTTGTTAGGTCCTATTAAATCATTTAGTTTCTTGTGCAGCAGAGAGTCAGTTTGGCTCAGTTGGTCGCACTGTCAGAATGTTGGCGAAGGGGATAAAATACGGAGGAGGGGAAAGAAAAAAGATTTAAATGTTAACAAGTCAAATTTGTAGAGCTCTCAGGATGGCTTAGTCGTTAAAGGAACTAAATCATACTGACTAGAAGGTTGCAGGTGGGATTGCCAGTCAATGTTGCCAGGTCACCCCAAGCATGTCAACATTAAAGATGCTACAATTAGCATCTGTCCCTCTAGGCTAAGGAGAGGAAAAAATTATTAATCAGTGACTTCTTCTAGAAACTGTTCATGTCTAGATGTTGGGTGGAACCAGCAAGAGTTGGTACAGGAGAGAAGGAGCTAAAATTGGCAAAAGAAATCAAACAAAATATATACACATTCCATTTTGAAGTATTATTTGGTTGAAGAGCTGCTTATTAAAACTGTAGGTGCCGCTGGGCTTGAGTATCAGTCAGCGGAAGCAAATGAAAAACTTGAGGTAGGGATGAAAGAAAAGGGAAAAAAAGAGCGACAATAGACTAATGAGAATGTGAAACCCTGTCCCTCACATAAAAACTGATACTCTTTGAATTCCGTTCAGGATTTTATTGTGCTGCGTTCGTCATTCACAACAAATTCATCAAATGGAATTTCCAGTTAAAATTTGTCAGATTTAATGTTATAATCTCTTAGGCTCTCCTGCCAAGTTATTTTTAACCCCTGGACTGCCACTAAGTCTATGGACTCTCATAGTTGATTCTGGATATTTTCAACTTGCCGAAAGTTGCATTGAAAAGAAAATCTAGGATTTTACAATAATAATCCTTGTATTTGGTAGCACCCAGAAGGTCAGTATCTCAAAGTGCTTCACAGCAGATTTTTGTAAACTGTAGTAACTGTATTTATAGGCGAACAAACCAGCCAATTTGCACACAGACATGTTCCACAAACAGAAATTAAGTGAATGACTATTAATCTGGAGGACTGTTGAGCAGGACACTCTTCTCTTTTCAAATAATGCTATGGGATTTTGGACATCCACCTGAACCTACAGGCAGGACCTTGGTTTAACGTCTCACAGCAGAACTAATGATATGAATTTAGAAGCAGTAATAGGGCATTGCCGAGGTTGATTTTTTTCGCTAGTGCACCAAGGCCTGTGGGTAGTTATTTCTGGGTAGCACTCTATAAACTCATTTATAAACTCCATAATCCACGACTGTTTGTGGGACACTGCTGTGTGTAGTTGGCTGCCACGTTTCACTCACAAAATATACAGTCAATTCGCTTTACAGTATATTCTGTGAAGCGCTTTGAGATGTCCCGAAGACATGGTAAGGCACTATATCAAATGCAAGGATTATTATTATTATCATGCCTGTGAGTTTTCTTCCAGTGTGCCACATTATACTCTCAATGCTTCCACTGAACACTATTGTGAGTTTTGCTGGTAGGGAAGAATCCAAGAGTTTGCTGAAAACTTGAAAATTGCAAAAAATGCTCAGCACATCAAGGAACGTATTGAAGAAGTTCACTTTGAATCTCCGAGATCCTGGATTGCCATGTGCTCCACTTTCATATTCAAATAGCTGCTTCGATCGTCTGTTTCGTCCCACCGGGAATTGAAGCAACACTTCCAGTTCTTTCACTACCTCTCAAGCATTAACCTGTTTACGGTCGATCCCGCTCCCTGCAACATATTGCGAGTTGTGCCAAGTAACATCACAGAAACAGAGTGCTGGGTGAAGCATTCCTCAATAGCTTGCTGACAAAGTACACTTCAAGAAGTACCTCACACCAGATATCAAGTCTCATAATAGATTTGTATGGTAAGAATTCAGACAGCTGCAGCATCTTTGGGCTTCACAACTATTTTCCTGAAACCATTTGGAAACTTAGCAAGCTGATAGAAAAGAGATTCAGTCACCATACAGTGCTCCAAATCAATATTTGAAGGTTGCTTCACAATCCTGTTGATGTACTTCTTTAGGATTTGCTAACACCGTAGAACCATAGAATTTTATAGCAATAAGGATTCTAGAAACAGCATTAGAGGATCAATGGGCTCAATCGCTCCCAACCACATGGTAGACATGTGGCACATAAAATTTTATGCATTTCTGTACACTAGCTCTCTTTCCCGTCATATTATAATTCTTCTCATAGGTTTAACTGGGCCAGTCGTTTACTTGCATACTGGTTCCGCCATTGGTGGTTATTGTTGATAAGAAATGTTGATAATAATAAAAAATAATAATCGTCCTTACATTTGGTATAGTGCCTTTCATGTCAGGAGGACATCCTAAAGCACTTCTCAGGATAAGACCATAAGAACATAAGAATTTGCTAGGTGAACGAAGACCATGGTCCAACTAGTTTGTCTACCATAATCCTGGCAGCCTGAGATATTATTTTCTAGCAGAAATCTAATTTGTTCTTGAAACAAACAACACTTTCTGTTTCCACCGTCTCCCTCGGGAGCCTGTTCCATATTTTTACTACTCGCTCACTGAAGTAGTGTTTCTGCAGATTTGTTCTGAATTAGGACCTGTCTTTTGTCATTCAAAGTCTTCATAGCCCTTAATCTTAAATCAAACTTTGTTGACTCAAGCATGCATTCTACCTGCTCCTGCCAAGGTCATGGGAGCTTAAATGTCTCTTGCCATGCGCAATGGCCTTCAATACTAAGTAAGGTGTGTCTTGTTCCAATCATTTGCTAAATCAAAATAACGCCTCTCTGGAAACAATGTAGGTTAATCATGTGAGCTGAATTGGCTGGAGTGTTCTAATAGTTTTCTGCTGTAAATCACCTCTTGCTTTTGTCCACTGAGGGCTTGGTACTGATTCATGTTGTACTTCAGCCACTTGAACTTCATAATTGAAAATTTCCAGCCAAGTTCAGAGTCCCCGAAGAGCGTTTTGAACTTCCAAGTAAACGACCATTGAAATCCTCTGTACCTGAGGTATCATCGTCATCTTCTGAGAATACTGCTTCCAGATTTATCATTGTATTTCTGGACTCTCTGTATTGTCACACCATGAACATGTTAATGAATAGACGATCAGCAATACAAAATCATTTGTCGAGTGACATTGTCTGTCTTCACTTCATCCTTCTATTGCTCAAGCTCTCACTTTGATGAACCTGACACATATTTGCTTTGTCCTTTTTTAAAAAAATTGTTCAACAATTTCTGCTGTAGTGAGATTTTAATACTTTACCATTATAGTCAGTACCAGGTATGCAGTCAAACATTTTATCAACAAATCAGCAGCTTGGTTATAATGGGTCTTGGTTATAATCATGATGTCCACCACTAGTGTAGACCTAAATGGCTAAATTGCCTGGCTTTGTGCTGTGATATTCTTGATTCGTGTTTTATCTCTTAGGAGAAAAATATTTTCTTGACAAGGAGGGAGTAGGAAATGTTGCAAGTGTATTACATTATTGTAGGTATTTGCCTACAAAATAGGCAGTGACTACACTTACAGTAAATACATGACTCCTTGTGAGATGTTGCTGTGCTTAAACTGGCCATTGCAAATAGTCACTAACTGTACAGTAATTTCCTGTCAAGTGTGCTTTGACAGACGTTGATGTGCTAAGGTACTATATCAAATGCAAAGTTTATATTTGTTTATTAGCAGGCCTTCCTCTACATTTGAATAATGTGCGTATTATACTGTTGCTGCATTCTGATCTACCATCTTTTTTTTAACTGAGCTAACTCTATATCTCCTGCTCCTTTGGATAAAAGTGGCTAAAATTACTCACAGTCAAATTCAATAATGGGGATAATGTTCATACTTGTAATTCAATCCTCCTCCCCCCTCACACAGGGTCATTATTTCCATGATCCTTAATTACGGTCATCATTTTCAAATGGGATAACTTTGTGCTTAACCTGAAATTATTCCAATTGCTGACTCTGATCTTTCTGCAAAATAATTAAGTAAATCAAGCTTGTGACTTAGAAGAAAAAGAATGTTAAATCAGTGCTTCCATTATTTTTTAAATTGAAGTATTAACAAGGATACTCTTAATAAGAGCCATGTACTTTACTTGTCCCCATGTCTCTTGAAGATATTCATTCATGTTGGGGTGTGTTTCCATGGTCCAGGTTCAGTATCTTCCCTCGGTGGCCATTCTTCCTGTGCGAGCCCAGGTAGTGAATGTCACCAGGTTGTTCAACTGTGGGTGAATTGTAGCCTTGCCCTTTGCAGCAGGAATAGGTCAATGATCAGGAATAGGAACCTGGGGGTATTGAAGCTAATTACAATGTTCTTACATTTACATATTTGGAGTCAATTGACTTATGCATTTTTTTAATTAACATTCTAAATCTTCTTATCTTCTATGTGTAAAAATATAGATGATTAATTTATTTTGTTTTCCTCTCTGCCCCCACCCCATAAGTGGGGGAAGGCAGCAATGGGGGGAGAGTTTAGAGGATATGATGTGGATATGTGACATTTATTGAAGGTATTTGTTTTGTAGCAAAATGTAGAATGCAATAAGATATATTGGTTTATGGCAGTCTCGTTCTACACTGCTTAAAAAGTATTCTTGGGGAATCCAGCAAGATGCCAAAATATGATTGATGGACTCTTAGTTTTACTGTGGTTCTCCATGAGTACTGGATTCTATATATTTAATCTATTTATGACTGACCTAAAAAGTCCCGTGACCCTCCTTAGTCATGGATGGTAGCATCAGAAACCGAGATCTTGTTGTGAACTTCGGGACCTTCACTGGACTTCTCCATCATTTGATAGCTGGGGTGCATGTCTCATCAATTATATGTCTTCTTCCTAGGTTGGTTTCGACCCACACTCACACATGCGTGTACCTGGAATGCCTCCAAATCTAACTGGCATCCCTGGTGGAAAACCGTAAGTAGTTGTTTGAAAGCATTTCACATCTTCAACATAATTAAACATTGGCGGGGTCTGTGTTTGCTGTCCATCATTCACATTTACAAGAAAATAAAATGGAATAACTTTTCACAAAATGAGTGTTAACAACAAGATCTGTTTGTTTCCCGCATTGTGACTTAGAAATAACCAGTATTGATTTTTATTTGTGAACATTTTGTAAGCTAATTGTAAGGCAAAATTTACGATAAAATTGTTTGTACAGGGTTTTCCTTTTGCTTAAATGTAAGTGATTTACGAAAATGCAGGTAAATTCTGATCTTTCTACACTTGAGATACGTAGACGTTGAGTTCAGACGTTTGTGACTCTCACATAAGTCATTTTAACATGAGAAATGGAAACAATGGCGCCAGTATTTCTGATATTAATAAATATTGCATACTTTTAATTTATAGCATGCAAACTGGAAGTGGTCACAAGAGGTACAAACCTATATGCAATCAATAGCAAGCAAAACAAAATTGGAAAAATGTGGTTAGTATTCAGCAGATGTTAACCCCAAATCCTTCAGTTTTGTTTTTCTTTCAATCTTTTCTAAATAGAGCCTATTCATTCCACGTTACTGCGGATGGACAAATGCAGCCTGTGCCTTTCCCTCCTGATGCCCTAATTGGACCAGGAATCCCAAGACACGCTCGGCAGATAAACACACTGAGCCATGGCGAGGTTGTGTGCGCAGTGACCATCAGCAACCCCACGAGACATGTGTACACTGGTGGGAAGGGTTGTGTGAAGGTCTGGGATATCAGCCAGCCTGGCAGCAAGAGCCCAGTGTCCCAGCTGGACTGCCTGGTAAGTGAATGTAAACTACTGTGGAAATGCAATTCCCTCTTTTGAGATTTAATCAGGAAGCTATAAAACAATTCTAGGTGGCTGTTCATCCAGCTCACAAATAAGGAAATGGCAATGAGTTTTGTTTCCTGATGTGCATTTTTAACACCAGCTTCGCACTTTTCTCATTTCCCTACCCCCCCCCACACCCCCATCAAAGCTGTGTGAACCAGATGTGCACAGTTTCAACAGGGAGAGTGAAACCTCATTTTTAGGGCTTAGTTTACCAAAGACTTGGCAGGACATCAAGATACTTCTGTCTTAAATTCCTTAAGAAATGTGATCCAATAATAAAGGATGTTTGCATTCGTAAAGCCATTAGAGAGATTGACCTCAGTGAGTGACATTAAAGTGATGTGCTGGAGAAATGGAAATAAAATATGGAAGAACTCAATTCATAAGGTTCATAAACATGCTGAGCCATGGTAAGGTTGTGTGCACAGTGACCATCGAAGTAACTTTATAGTCTGTTTGGAACTTTTATTTCTTAATGAAAACTGCATAGTCCAATACTGCATATTTTCATTCTTGTACTTTTTAATGCCCAGAGCCTTCCTGGCAACTATGGAATAGTATTTATTATGTAATTGATGTGCCCCAATCTAAAGTATCCCTTCCCGCATAAAGTTTGAGGTAATGTGAAGGAAAGAAAAGTTACTGAAGTATTCTAATAACCTAAAAGTAAGAGTACTTTCCTGCCAATTTCAGAAGACTGTTTATAGAGCAATTGTTGTCAGAGTACCAGAAACCTTTGCACTTGGCATTAAAATTGATTGGGGGAAAAATTAACTAAAAACTTTGGTTAATTGTATGAATATACATGAATGTATGAATATCAAGGTCTGTTTATTCTTGTGGTCGGCATTTGCTCGGGGTACTGGAAGGATAGGTCAGACTCGAACTATTTGCTTTATTTTTAGCACTTCAACCGTTTTGTTCCAGACCAGGTTTCAGCTGTGGTTATTGGAACCATTTGTACAAATCTGGAATTTATTTTATTGAGTGCGACTGACCACAGAATACAAAACTAAATCGGTGGGATTAGCCCTCTTGAACGAAGGCACCAATTAATTTTTACAACCTGAGTATTTTTTTCTGTTTGTAAATTGAGAACTGGACTGGTATTGAACATTTTTTATGGATGTGTAGGGATCCAAGCTAAAGTGGTGGATGATTTTGAGTAACGCAGACGTACTTTAAACAGCACTCTAAAATCTCAATATATCCAACTCGGGCTGATCAGATGAAGCATTGTGTCTCCATGTCTCTTTGACTGTCTCCGAGTCAGTGTAGAGAGCAGCGGTGTGAGTCTGCACTACCCATAAATCAGCACTAAATTACCCCGACTACCTCAGAAACCACAAAGACATGTTGTGTGGGAAATACGTTGGTGCCGTTGAGGGCAATGTCATCTGAATTTAATAATAATAAAACACCTCCTGCTTATTCTGGATTTTATCCGTGAAATGATGTAAACCAAGTGCATCTCTTTGGACCTTGCTCACATTTGAACATTGTAACTGTATAATTTCATACTAACCACGGACAGTTTTTTTAATCTAAACTGATGAGTTTATTGCATTTCTCAAAAGATACTAAAATATTAAATATGTTTCCCCCCCTCGCAGAACCGAGACAATTACATCCGATCGTGCAAGCTGCTCCCTGATGGCCGGACCCTGATAGTTGGTGGTGAAGCCAGTACGTTGTCCATTTGGGACCTGGCAGCCCCAACTCCACGTATAAAGGCAGAGTTGACGTCCTCCGCTCCCGCCTGCTATGCTTTGGCTATAAGCCCCGATTCCAAGGTCTGTTTCTCGTGCTGCAGCGACGGTAACATTGCTGTCTGGGATCTGCACAATCAGACATTAGTCCGGTAAGAGTTTAAACATGCAAACTGCAATCCTGACCTTTGCTTTTTGGGTGGGTGAATTGGGAAGCTGTTCTGTTTCCTGACTGGTAATAGGATTATTGACGTACATGTTAAGAGACATTATTTTACTTAGTAAAGGAGCCAAGGGCTGCTTTTCATTGATTCTAGCTTGCCTGGCATGTAATACTTTTTGAAGAACAATTTGCATAAGTATAGGTACGGGCTTTGACTACGTTCACTTTTGAGTGTACAGTCATATTATTTTGGAACAATTGTTTGTACTTTCCTATCTCAGCAACTCAAATCTACTGCCTATATTCTAGACTACTTTTCCTGATTGCACCTTACCATTGATGTCCGAGCCTTTAGCCACTATGCTCCCGCCCTCCAAAACTCCCTTCAGTAATCGCTTGTCAACAACCTGTTAAATCAAAATAATTGATTTCACTGACCTCGTTCACGGACAACCTACACCTTGCACAGCATGACACCATTTCCTAGTTTACATTCAGAAACATTCTAAAGAAACAGTTATTTTGTTCAACAACATAAAAGCTTTGCCCCTGCACACAACCCCTCACTCAACAACAACAACTTGGATTTATATAGCGCCCTCCATGCCAGACGGCGTCTCAGAGCGCTTCACAGTAAAGGATCCTGAGGCCGAGCTAGGGGGATGGGGAGGAAGGTGACCAAAGGCGCGGTTGAAAAGAAAGGTCTTCAGCAGGGACCTGAAAATAGGAAGAGATGGGGCGAGGCAAGGGGAGTGAGGAAGGGAATTCCAGAGCCTTGGGGCATAGTGGCTGAAGGCACGACCACCGAGGGTACAGCGGAGGACTCGGGGGATGAGGAGGAGGTCAGACCCGGAGGAACAAAGATAACGGGTACTGTTTTGAGGAGAGAGGAGGTCAGAGAGGTAGGGGGGTGCAGAGGAGTGCAGGGATTTGAAGACAAGGGTGAAGATCTTGAAGTCGATCCTCTCTGGGACAGGCAGCCAGTGCAGTCTGGCAAGGACTGGGGTGATCGGGGAGTGGAGTTTGGTGCAGGTGGGAATGCGGGCGGCAGAGTTTTGAATGATCTGGATTTTGTGGATGGTAGTGGAGGGGGGACCGGTGAGGAGGGCGTTAGAATAGTCCAGCCGAGAGGTGACAAATGCATGGACTTGGGTTTCAGCGGCTTTCGGGGAGAGGTATTGGCGGAGACAGGTGATGCGTTGGAGGTGGAAGAAGGCGGTGCTGGTGAGGGACTGGATGTGGGGGAGGAAGGATAATTGGGGCTCAAACCTGACGCTAGGTTGCGCTCAGTGTTATAACTTATATCTGTTAAAATACAAGTTGCTATTGTTGAGCACTTGGAGATGTTCATGTTATGTGAAAGGCACTATATAACTGCAAGTTGTGAGAATGTTTTGTCCGTAAGTTTAACCATAAGTTTGGTAACAAGTGTTCATGGTTTAAAACTGAATTTTGGTGGTTAGCGAACAAAAATATTCTGCTCACTTTAACTAGATTTTAATTACTGTAACTTTATAGACTAGCTCTCTCACTTTAAATTTATTGCACCTGGATCATATCTACCCATCTAATAATAAAAAATAATATGGTCACTCAATTCGCAACTGTTTGTGGGGCACTGCTGTGCGCAATTGGCAGCCGTGTTTTGTCTACCAAATACACAATCATACATTTTACAACATTTTGTGAAACTGAGATGTCTCAACAACGTGATAAGGCACTATTTCAAATGCAAGCAATATTGTTATTATAATCAAGAAGCCTGTGTTATGTCCTGCATGGATTGTTTAACCAGATCTAGTACCAAACAGTGAAGAAACGTCATGATCTGGAGTCCAAAACTAACAACATAATTGTGTTTATCTAAAGCTTGTGCAGGAAATCTTTATTCAATTTTGTTTATTTTATCAGGCAATTCCAGGGTCACACAGATGGGGCCAGCTGTATTGACATATCAAATGATGGCACCAAGCTTTGGACGGGAGGCTTAGACAACACCGTGAGATCCTGGGACCTCCGGGAAGGAAGACAACTACAGCAGCACGACTTCACATCCCAGGTAGGTAAAGGTCTGATACTAGATCTGAAAAAACCTGTTAAATCAAAATAATTGTTTTCACTGTCTTCTTCCATGAATAATTTACACCTTTTACAGCTTAACATTGTTTCCTAGTTTTTAAATGATGTTTAGGGGGCACAAAGATAGACTGGCTGTAGTTTTTTTATCTGTAAAATGAGATGTTATTTTGAGTTTATAAAAAGGCTCATAATCGGAGATCATTTCAGTGATCCTGCTTATGTAAGTTTGCCAATAATTTCAAGCCCATTCAAAACCGTTGTAAATAAAAATCCCCTTGAAATCCCTAACAATGACTAGTCTCCAAGTTCTTGCTTCCTGTGCCCAGTACCTTAGATTCCCCTGATTGTGAGCTCCTCATCTCAGTCATTGCATTGTGATCACTGCCAAGTGGCCAGACATTCCTCCACAGGAAGAGGAAGAAGATTCCCAAAGGACCAATAATGCTATTTTAATAGCTCCCTTTGTCTTCCTTTACTGAAGCTGGGATGCCTCAGCCTCTTGAGAGCATTCCCTTGAATTATTTTGTTGGGAAAGCAAGAATAGGAGAAACAGTGCCACCAAATCCCCTTTTAGTCAGCGTAATCCAAAGTTGCCATCCCAATAGACGGAAGATGGCGGCCTATAAGTTTAGGCCCAGAGGCAAATGGGGCAGAAGCTTGGTCAAAGGCCACAAACAAAAGGGAGGAGGATCATACCGTGGGCAGCATCGCTTTAGAATGTATGTGTAACAATCTCATACCAATTATAAAGTGAATTTAGTATTTATACACTATATCTCGAGTTCTGTGTAAAGTGGTAAAGAAACGATAAGCGGGTATCTAAAACCTTGACACTTCAATTATAAGGCATATTTACTAGCACTAAAAGTTCTAGTTACAAACAGACCAGCTGTGTAGATTATGATTGTGAAAGCGTGAGTTATACAAGAACATTGTTTGCACCTTTGTGCAGGTCTTTGTGACATACATGCCTCGATGGCAAGCTAGGAGTTTTCAGGTCATTAAAACAAATGTAAAGGTGTGATTTGATGCATTGAATTTTACAGCATACAAATCTTATCTTAATCTTGCATGAGTGATTTTCCTTTGAGCAATCAGAATTCAAAGACAAGTGTTTAAAAGAGTGACCTGTACTGGCCAGCAAAAGGACCAACTTAACCTGGCCTCGAATTTCATTGTAGCTGATGTGGTTCCAAGATAACGTGTATATATAAAATGCACAAGAATTCTACATTAATGCTGAACTGATGGGAAATAATTGGAGAATAAACGATGATTAAAATCATAACTCCATTGTTACGAAGTGCGCTTGCAAGTGAGATGCAAATGTAGCAGGGCAGACAGTGTAAGGAATAAGGCTTTTTTTTCCTGTGCTCCAGTTCACTAATGCAGCAAAACTTAAAATAAATCAGGTATCTGTTCTAGGTGAGGGGCTGAAAATGGAGAACAAATTGGAAGGGTCTATTTATGTTCCAAGCCAAAAACATGAAAGTACATGTTTGTTTTGTAACCAATAAATATCTTTATTTAAATCTTAAATTATTTTGCAGCAATCTTGCAAATTTACTTCTGAACTCCTAAATCTTGCACAGAGATTACTGTACCGATCTATCAGTTCAGAATATAGGAAAGCGACCTAAAACTCTGAATAGATTATAGGAAAGGGCATAGGACATCTTTGGAACAATCATTATTCTTATATACCTTCAGAGTTCATAATGTTTTATGGTTTTCATTTCCATTATGTACGTTTATGTTCTAAAATGCTTTGTTTGCTTTTAAGATCTTTTCTCTTGGATACTGCCCTACTGGCGAATGGCTGGCTGTGGGGATGGAGAGCAGCAATGTCGAAGTCCTACACGTGACCAAACCAGACAAATACCAACTGCACCTCCACGAGAGCTGTGTGCTCTCCCTTAAGTTTGCTTACTGTGGTAAGGACTCTTAACTATGATTGAAATGGTCTGAAATCCCTTTGTACAGTTGACTACTGATGAACATGAGCCAAGGGACTTTCCATTCCTTGCTGGCCTCCCCAATGGCCAGCAATATCGACTTTGACTTGGATTGTTTGAATCCTGGGATTCAAACAAGTACAATGTCGATACAGCATTTATTGGCATGTTTGAAAAAGATGGTGAATGTCAGTACCGACATTGTAGTTATACTTTGCCAGGAATTCCAGCTCGTCAGGTCGGATCTTCTTCTCTCCCCCTCCCCCCCACCTCATTAATCCTGCTAGCCAGGGTTTTAATCTACTGCATGCATAACTCTCTGTTGGTATCTGTCTGTGCCATTGTCACTCTTTCTGTCTGGTTGTGTTGCTGAGGTAGGCTGGGAGGGAGGTGAGTCAGTGACTGGCTCGGGAAGAGGTTGCTGCATCGTGCAGGTGATCTTAGCCAATTTCCTTGGCATTTTTCTGAGGTGAGATTTAGCATCTCAGGATCCTGGGATTTGGGACATTAAAATCCTGAAATCCAGGGATTCAGACAAAGCCTGGGATTGCAGTAGGCAAAATACTGTAGATGCTGGAAATCTGAAATAAAAACAGAAGTCACTGATAGCACTGGGCAGGCAGCATCTATGGGGAGAGGAAAATTAGTTAATGCTTCAGGTCAATGACCTTTCTGTTTTTACCCATGGGATTGCAATTGTTTCGGATGAGATGTTAAAACTGAGTTTCCACTGAGTCCAGATTCACTTTAAAGTACATCTGTTATTATGTAAGGATTAAATATATCCTCACATGCTGCTGTGTTCGCCTATGAATACACAGTCAGTACTCTTTACAGAAAAGGCCCATAAAGTGCTTTATATCAAATGCGAGGTTATTATAGGATTATTATTATTGATGTTAGTGGCCTCTAATGGAATTTCCCCATTATAAATTTGGATTGTCAAAGTTGATACATGGAACATTGACTGGTATCTCATCCCTCAGATGCCAATTAGTGACTGCACAAACGTTGTTTAGTTTGGGGGGGCTGGAAGGAGAAGTAAAGAAACCTGTCTATGAGTGCAAACCATGGACAGATTAAAGTTGGACTGGAGAACAAGGGGTTTAATGATGATTTCTGGTGTACTTCTGCAGGTAAATGGTTTGTAAGCACTGGAAAAGACAATCTTCTGAATGCCTGGAGAACGCCTTATGGAGCAAGTATATTCCAGGTAAGTGCAAGTCAAACCGTCTAATCATTTTAAGATTTCTACATCCATAATCTTGTGGACTGTGTTAAATGTATAGTAAATAACAACAATAACATTTGTATAGCACCTTTCATATCAGGAGGACTCCCAAGTGCTGGACTGTCAGTGTTTCATACCTGAGCTGGGGTTCAGGATTGGGGAGGGTGGAGGGCCGGGAGGGAGGAGGGTGATTGAAAGCATGGTCGAAGAGGCAGGTCTTGAGATGTGTCTTGAAGGAGGCAAGGGAGGGGGCTAGGCGGAGGTCCTGCAGGATGGAGTTCCAGAGGGTGGGGGCAGAGTGGCAGAAGGCCCACGGACCAATGGTCGGGCAGGCGAGGTGGGGGACGTGATGTAGGCAGGAACCCGCTAAGCGGAGGCAGTGGGCAGGATGGTAGGGGGTTAGGAGGTCACAGAGGTAAGGGATAGCAAGGCCATGGAGGGCTTTGAAGGTGAGGACCAGGATCTTGAACTGTATACTCTGTGATGGGAAGCCAGAGGAGTCAGGTGAGGATGGGGGTGATAGGGTCACAGAGCCTGTTGCAGGAGAGGACACAGGCTGCTGAGTTCTGGATGATCTGTAGCCTATGGAAGGGGGAGTTGGGGAGGCCAACAAGCAATCAGTTTGCATAGTCAAGCCTCGATGTTATGAATGTGAGTATGAGGGTTTCGGGAGAGATGCGGTGTGAGACAGTGGCGGAGTCGGGCGATGTTGTAGAGTTGGAGGAAGGCAGAGAGGGTCATAGCATGGATGTGGGGTAAAAAGGATAATTGAGGGTCAACAAGACGCCAAGGTACCAGACTGGCTTAGCAAGGTGGACTGTGCAACCATGGATGGTAATGCTTGTCAGCGCCTGAGGTGAGGAGGCGCTGACAGGAGCCAATCAGGAGAGCCTCGTTCTTGTTGACGTTCAACTGTAGAAAATTAGCTCTCATCTAGGACTTGATATCTGACAGACATTCTGTCAGGACAGCAGTGGTCCTGGAGTCAAGGGTGGAGACAGAGAGGTATAGTTGGGTGTTATCCGCATACATGTGGAAATTGACCCCATGTCTGCAGATCAAATGGATTAAATCAGTCTAGCTTAATAAGAAAGTTTATACAATTCCAATACAGCCGTGAAGAAGCTATTGAGAAGTTAATGCATTGGAAAAGGTGTGCATTAATGTGATAAAAGATATAATTTTGTGTTAAGTGATTTAATATTTACAGCTATATTAAGGTAGTTTGTAGCAACAAGTTGAGGTAGGAGACTAGCTGACGCTTGCAAGTCTCCTACAGTTCCTGATAGTATTCACAAAGGTACAATGAAGAGGAGGAGTGGACATGTTTGGCCCTTGTCCATTTAATATTAAGTGTATGAGCTTTGCCAAAACTCTGGAACACGTTGTTGCCAACCAACTCCGCGCACACCTCTCCCTCCACACCCTACTTGAACCCTCCAGTCTGGTTTCCACACTGCTCACAGTACAGAGACTGCACTGGTGAAAGTCACAAATGATATCCTCACTAATCTGTGACCAGGGCTCCCTCTGTCTCCTCATCCTCCTGGACCTCCCTGCCGTGTTCGACACAGTTGATCACGCCATCCTCCTCCACCGCCTGTCCTCCATCATCCACCTCAGTGGGACTCACTTGGTTCGAGTCTTACCTTACAAATCCTTCTCTCTTCCACCCGGTCACCTTACGGGGTACCCCAAGGATCCATCCTTAGCCCCCTTCTCCTCCTCATCTATTTGCTCCCTCTCAATGATATCATCCGCACACACGGGGTTAACTTCCACATGTTTGCGGATGACACTCAACTCTACTTTTCCACCTCCAGTTGGGACCCCTAGTCCCCTGATGTTCTGTCAGCTTGTCTGAACATCTGAGCACAAATTTCCTGCAGTTAAAACATCAACAAGACAGAAGCCATATTCCTTGGTTCCCGCCGACGTCTTTTGTCCCACGGTTCCGACCTCCTCAACCTACCCGACCTGTCCTTAAAACTCTCCCACCCCGTGCACAACTTAGGCATCAGGTTCAATCCCCAGTTATCCTTCCTCCCCCAAATCCGGTCTCTGACCAGCACCGCTTTCTTCCATCTCCGCCACATCGTCCGTCTCCTACAATATTTCACCCCAAAAGCTGCCGACACCCTTGTCCATGCCTTTGTCACCTCTTGACTGGACTATTCTAACGCCCTCCTCGCTGGTCTCTCCTCCTCCACTATTCACAAAATTCAGCTCATTCAAAACTCCGCCACCCACATTCTCACCCGAACCAAACTTCGTACCCCGATTACTCCAGTCCTGGCCAAACTCCACTGGCTCCCTGTCACAGAGCGAATCAACTTCAAGATCCTCACTCTAGTGTTTAAATCCCTCCATTCCTTGCCTCCCCACCCCCCATCTCTCTAACCTCCTCTCTCCCCACAGCAGTACCCGCTGCCTCCGCTCTACTGGGTCCGGCCTCCTTCGTGTCCCCTGAATCCTCTGCTCCACCATCAGTGCCTTCAGCCACTACGCCCCGAAACTTTGGAACTCACTCCCTCAACCCCTTCATCTCGCCCCCTCCTTCCCCATCTTCAGGTCGTGCCTGAAGACGTTCCTCTTCGATCACGCCTACGGACACCTTCCCCTGGCCCGGCCTCGGGCTCTGCCATTGTTAAGTGCTCTGAGACGCCGCCCGGCATGGAAGGAAGTAGATAAATGCATGTTGTTATTGTTGTATGAGTAGAATCCTGTAATCCAATGGTTGTTTTAGTTTTCAGCACTCCCTTCCCTTTATATTAAATACAGATCTGAAACTTAAAGTTGCCTCCACGTTGCATACATGCAACCACTTGTTTGGCTTTGGAAAGGAGTATAGGGAGCAATTGGAAGGAAATAATGACATTTAAGATCAAAATGTGCAGACTTGGTGTGTTGAAAAATAAGATCTGATCTTTGAAACCATTGTAATTCATGTACAGTGAGTATAAACTAATTGTTAATTTTAGATTTGCTGATTCTCACTCTCTCTCTTCCTTTCCAGTCTAAAGAGTCTTCATCAGTGCTGAGCTGTGACATCTCAGTGGATGATAAATATATCGTCACTGGGTCTGGGGATAAGAAAGCATCAGTTTATGAAGTTATTTACTGAGAACCATAACGGAGCGGATATATTCAGGACTGTTTAAACAAACAGCAGCCTCCTGGCAGGTCTTGAAGGCGTTTCTCATTGCATACGCTTAAGGACTGACTATCATCACATCATTAATTATTGACTGGATTAAAAGAATACTCCCATTAAACTTGGGATGGATGCGATTAGCTGTTTTTGGTAGTCCCGAGAATAATTCCAGGACCCTGCTTTGTAGACCCTGGATTGTTAGAAGAGCATTTGAATCCTCTGTGACCTCACCTTGTATTTTTGTTATTGCCTGAATTGCTGCATTTGTGGAGTTGCCTAACCAGATGTTCATTTGTTCTTCATTGAAAGACATTCTGTCCTTTGTAGCGCGAAGGTGTTCCAGATGAACCTGGTTCCTGGTTACTGCATCTTGTGAAATGTTTTTTTGTATCTTGTTGGAGCTCAGACATTTGTACAAATTGTAAATATTCCGTTTAATACAGTAAAAGACAGTATTGAAACACATATTTTTTGTATGTTTTTTTTAAATCACAGAGCATTTATAAATGCTGGTGCTGATATTGTGACACTGGGAATCAAAATTAGACTTAAGAAATTAAAACAATATTTCTCAGTTCTCTACTCTGGTGAAAATAATTTATTAAATTTTTCATGGAAGTTTGAAATAAATCTACAGGCATAAACAAGCATGTGTGAAGACACTGAATGTTTACATTTACAATTTTTATATAAACAAATTAATCTCTATTGTAGAGTGATACTTCATTTTTCATTTCACTCTGCTTGACCCTTTGTGCTACACAACAGCCTATATCAATGACAATTGTTTAATGTCAGCAAACTTAAGACACAACTTCCTCATCTTTGCCTAAGAGATTGCTTTTGCCAGTAGATATATATATATATACCCATATATTCTATTTATAATTTGGTAACTTCTGAATATTTTCTTGGATTATCCCCAAGATTTTTAAGTTGTTTCTTGTCATTTCCTGTCAATCCCCTCCAGGCTTCTTTGGGAAATAGTCACATTGGGAACCATCTGTGCTTGACAACATGTCCTTAAATCAAGTCGACTTCAAAAAACCACCTGGCCTCTTTTGTCACTTAACATGCTTTGTTGGGTATCTCACCAAACTCACAAATGGCTTCCTTCCATAAAGTATTGAATTGGATTAAAACATTTGCATACTGAGAACTGTACAATGAGCCATAGAGGTTGCGCTGGAAAGGTGCAAGTAATGAGAACTCGAGCACAAACTATGCACTTGGGCAGTGACACAGAGAGAAAACACTTTTGAAAAATAAAGATCAAAATCATATTAAGTGCACTGTGTTGCATGCAAAACACATTGCTACCCTCCAGCAATGCTTCTTTTTGCATAGGCTGTTTATCTCCAATTCTGCTTAATATTATAAAGTGAAATATGCCTATAGGTGGTGAGTGATTATTTGGGGCAGTGTGACCTGATCTTTTTAACATAACATAACAGGTAAGCATGTTAACTCTTCCAGCATATATTTACATCTTCAGATACTGCCTGGAATTCACAAAACCCATCAGCTCAATGACTCCAACTTCAGCACAAAATCAAATGCAATCATCCTAGTTTAGAGTAAATCCACCGTGTTTACCATATTCAATCAAAGATGGTCTCGATACTCAACAGCATGCAGAATTGATTTGCAGGAAGACAGCCACTCTGAAATGTATCATCTAGCAGCACAGCAAAACAATTGTATCGCAATGGTTCGCCCCTCCTTGCATCCTCCTTCTCCATCTTCTAATCACACCTGAAAACCTTCGTCTTCAACTGTGCCTATGGTCACAACCCCTGCACCCCGGCTCAGCATCATGTTCTGCCACAGTTAAGACCTCCAAGATGCTACCCTGCATGAAGGGACTCAATAAATGCAAGTTGGTGTAGCTTGGAGTGGAGGGATGGGGAAGGGTTGATCACCAATCACATTTGTGTGATCAGAGATGGGATATCTGTCAACACTAATTTGTCAAGGACTTTGATGTATGAATAATCAGGTGTATAAACAATATATGTTGTGCAAATAGTGATGAAGTCCCAGAAACTAAGAAACACAAGTGCACAAATGAATCTTTGTGCAAACATGGAGAGAGTTTTAGTTTACTTGTGGTTGGATACATCAAAGAATCTACCAATTCCTGACTGGTATTTCATTTAATGTCAGATGCCAGGGAGCTGTTTGGAACCAGCCTCTTGAAGCAGACTCTTGAAGCAGTTGGCTTGTGACAGCATGGGAAGGATAGGATATTCATTTTCCAATAACGACAGAACAATCCAATGCATGGTCAAATTGTTTGGAGGAAAGTACTGTACTTTTCATTGTGTGAAAGTAATACCTGTTTATGAACGGTTTAGAGCTCTACATTACAGCTGCTTTTTTTTAGTACATTCATATACCTGCACACAGCTGTCTGGGTGCTCAACTATGTGTACATAAATATTAGCTTTAGAAAATCTGCATTAGAAGATTTGAATCCATCTCACAAGGTTCATGATGTAATAGGTATGATCTACATACTCAAATTCCTTCCCATTTTATGTCAAATTTATTACTGATGTCTCATTATTATCATAATTCTGGCATTTGATGATAATCAAATGCAAGGATTTTATTTTTTAGTTCTTGCATTTGATATAGTATCTTATCACATTTTTGAACTGTCACAAATCACTTCACAGTATTTAAGAACATAAGAATTAGGATCAGGAGTAGGCCATTCGGTCCCTCAAGCCTGCCCCGCCATTTGATAAGATCATGGCTGATCTTCAGACCTAACTAATTACCTGCCCTATCCCCATATCCCCTAATCCCTCTATTTTAAAAAAAATCTATCAGTCTCAGCCTTGAAGCTGTTCAAGGACTGAGCATCTACAACCTTCTGGGGTAGTGAATTCCATAAATTCTCTGAGTGAAGAAATGTTTCCTCAACTCTGTTCTAAAAGGCTGACCCTTAATTTTAAGACTGTGACCCCTGGTTATAGATTCTTCTACCAGGGGAAACAGACCCTCAGTGTCTACTTTATCCAGCCCTTTAAGAATCTTATATGTTTCAATAACATCTCCCTTAATTCTTCTGTACTCTAGAGAATACAGCCCTAGTTTATTCAGCCTATCCTCATAGGTCAGTCCCCTCATCCCAGGAACTAACTGAGTGAATCTACGCTGCACCCCCTCTAGGGCAAGTATGTTTCCTTTTTTAAATAAGGAGACCAAAACTACACACAATACTCTAGGTGCAGTCTCACCAAAGCCCTATACAGTTGCAGCAAGACTTCCCTACTCTTGTACTCTAAACCTTTTGCAATGAACTCTAATATGCCATTTGCCTTCTTAGTTGCTTACTGCACCTGCAAACTAACTTTTTGAGACTGGTGTACAAGGACACCCAAATCCCTCTGAACACTAACACTATCTAATCTCTCCCCCTCTAGAAAATAATTTGTTTTTCTATTTTTTCTACCTAGGTGAATAACTTCACACTTCCCCACATTAAATTCCATCTGCCACCTACTTGCCCACTCCCCGAGCCTATCTATATCCCGTTGCAATCTTTTTGCATCATCCTCAGAGCTTACTCTCCCAACTAGTTTAGTGTCATCTGCGAATTTAGATACATTACATTCAATGTCCTCGTCTAGATCATTGATGTAAATTGTAAACAGCTGAAGCCCAAGCACTGAACCTTGTGGCACTCCACTAGTCACATCCTGCCAATTTGAGAATGACCTGTTTATCCCTACTCTCTGTTTTCTACCCGTTAGCTACTCTTCAATCCATGCTAATATGTTCCCATTAATCCCGTGGACCTTAACCTTGTGCAATAGCCTTTTGTGTGGCACTTTGTCAAATGTCTTTTTAAAATCTAAATATACTATATCTACTGGTTTCCTCCTATCTAACCTGCTAGATACATCTTCAAAAAACTCTAAAAGATTAGTTAAGCATGACTTCCCTTTTGTAAAACCATGTTGACTCTGCCTAATCTTGTTATGGTCTTCCAGGAATCCCATAACAACATCTTTAATTAAGGACTCAAAAATTTTCCCTACCACTGATGTCAGAAACTAGGCGAACATGGTAATCAATTTGTACAAAACAATGACACAAACAGCTGAACAAGATTGTTGGCCAGAACACTGGGAGGAAAACTCTTCTCTTTTCAAGTAACTTATCATGGGATATTTCATGTCCCAACTGAACAGGCAGATGAGACCTCAGTTTAACAACTCACCCAAAGGATGGCACCTCTGACAATACAGAGCTCTCCCAGCACTGCATTAGAATATTAGCCTAGACTATGAATTCAAAATCCCAACGAGGGGTTTGAATCCACATCTTTCTGACTCATCGACAAGGATGCTGCTAACTGCTTCAGGTATTCCTGCAATGGAAAGATTGGGTCCAGAAATATTTGAGTATTCTAATATGATGCACTCTCATCATGTTATATATTGGTGGGTGGAATGATTTTTTTCATCTATGTACTATTTAGATTATTTAGAAATGTATAGTTCTGTAATAATGAGAGCAATTGACTTATAAGCCTCTGTAGTGGGTGGAGTCCATTTCCTTCTTCAGAAGTACTATAATCAAAGCAATGCAGTCTTGCTGGAAGGCTTTGAAGCTCCAAAACATGGCTGTAGACTCACAATAGAAGTATAATGAAAATTAGTGGATTATTTTTTCCTTTCGAATTTCAACTGTTACTCTTACTGAAGGCAAATGACTCCTGTTGGTACATGTGAGAACAATTCAGCTGTAGGGGAAATCTCAGACAGGCCTTACCTTGCAGTCTATGAAATCATTATGGGTTTGAGGGTACCCTCAAAATACATCTCAGTCAAAATTCACTCAGTTCCTCTATATCTCTGAAAAGTAAAGGTAAAACATTGAACTTTCTGCTACAACCACTGGGGTTTGGCATCGTAGATCTCTGTAGCCTTCCTCTAATGTATGCTCAAGTGTGGTGTGATCATGTGTCACCTGTGGTTACTCCCAGCTGGGGGATTTTCAACTATTAGATCAATCAATGGACATATTTCTGATGGGCTTTTAAGTAAATTGCTGACCTTGATTAGATTTTTCTTATCCATTGAATAAGACAAGCAAAATAATAACCAAATTAAGATCCAGTTTAGTGCCCAAATCTTAAATTCTGCATGACATGGCAATGCTGTTATCATTAAAATCATGTGAGGTTTTGCCCCTTGGCAAAACATGGATTGTCATTTAGAGTGGAAATCATGGTTGACTTTTTGTCATTCTCTAGCAAAGGGACACTAAGGCTAATTGCAGCCTCCCTTCTGCTGCCATTGAGATCAGGTATTTAACCAAAGGCCAAGGATCAAACATGAGCCTTTTGCATGATTTGTTTTTACATATACCCTTTACCTGAAGGGAAAATCATGCGGGATTTCCACATCTTGTGTAAGCTCAAACATGAAAAATGTTTCAGCAAGA